ATATGATTCTTTGATCAAGGATATATTCAATCCGAAAATGTAGCCAACACAGAACTATGACTTAACTAATTTTCCGCAATTAAGTAGATTACATTCACACTTAGCGCAAACACCTAAAAGACTTAGGCTCCATTTGAGATCGTTAAGAATTAACCAGCATCAAACACCTTAAAAATCATCTATAGTAGCCATAGGGTGGTGTGGCTAGCTTACAAAGGTACAGGGTAGTACTATGAACAATCAATCTATTAGACAACTTATATAAACAGCCAAGCAGTTTTATCACACTTTGGGATAGACTATTTTACCCTCTTAGAGATTCCATCCCTAAACATTATTCAAGGCAATCTTCATCCAGACTAATATATCCCAAGTCTCAGTACTAAGTTTTCAGACCTGACCAAAGGGCAAAAATACATCCATCTACTTAATCACACTACATCAGATACTGGTTACTATGGCAACTATATGTGTTACCTTAGGCCATACTTGAAGAGTAATATAGAAAGTCTAAGTAGCAATGACGTAATACAGACCTTAATGATTATCTTGCTGAAAAGCTCCAAATTAACAAGCACCAGATTCAACCAGAACAACGGCAACGCCAAAGCGTAGCGAATCCCATCGAACATTTTTCAAAAGGGGCACCTTTTACCAAAAGTGTCATTAGACAGTGTGCCATGGTTATAATATTCACATACCAAATATGAACAAAATCGCTCTGCTACTTTTCGAGTTATAGTAAAATACGTTAAAATGGTGGCCATTTTGAAAAATGGCCGCTTTCTACTAAAAGTCTCATTAGACAGTGTGCCATGCTTATAGTATTCACATACCAAATATGAACAAAATCGCTCCGCTACTTTTCGAGTTATAGTAAAATACGTTAAAATGGTGGCCATTTTGAAAAATGGCCGCCTTTACCAAAAGTGTCATTAGACAGTGTGCCATGCTTATACGTATTCACGTACCAAATGTGAACAAAATCGCTCCACTACTTTTCGAGTTATAGTAAAATAAGTTAAAATGGCAGCCATTTTTCAAAATGTCCACCATTTTTCAAAATGGCCGCCTTCTACCAAAAGTCTCATTAGACAGTGTGCCATGCTTACAGTATTCACATACAGAATTTGAACAAAATCGCTCCACTACTTTTCGAGTTAAAGTAAAATACGTTAAAATGGCGGCCATTTTGAAAAATGACCGCCCTCTACCAAGAGTGTCATTAGACAGTGTGCCATGCTTATACGTATTTACATACCAAATATGAACAAAATCGCTCCACTACTTTTCGAGTTTTAGTAAAATAACTTAAAATGGTGGCCATTTTTCAAAATGTCCGCCATTTTTCAAAATGGCCACCTTCTACCAAAAGTGTCATTAGACAGTGTGCCATGCTTATAGTATTCACATACCAAATATGAACAAAATCGCTCCACTACTTTTCGAGTTACAGCAAAAATCGTAAAATAACGAGAAAAGGGCGCCATTTTTCAAGATGGCTGCCATGTGCTTTTATAATATCTACATTTCTAGCTTTATTAATGTCCTATATAATTTTTTTTACATTTAAAACATATTGCTATTACAGTTTTACATATTGCACCTAAATTACTGTAAAATCGGCACTAAAATGGCCGCCATTTTTAAATGAGCGGCCATTTTGAAAATTGACTTTCGAGCAGAACTTCTACCCCCATAGGGTATATGTATACAAAATATGAATAAAATCGGGCCAACGGTATTTGAGTTATTGCCCGGACGGACGGACGGACGGACGTACGTACGGACGGACAGACGTACGTACGGACGGACGGACGGACGGACGGACGGACGGACGTACGTACGGACGGACGGAGGCGTTCCCTATATCCCTCCGAACTTCGTTCGATGGGATAATTACTTGTATATCAAGTGATATATGGGAATCTGCTTTAATATCATATATTACCAACAAACCAAAAAAGAAGGTGAACACATTTGCCTCAAGGTAAATGCATTTGCATCAAGGTGAATATATTTGCATCAAGGTGAATGTATTTGCATCAAGGTGAATGCATTTGCATCAAAGTGAATATATTTGCATCAAAGTGAATGCATTTGCATCAAAGTGAATATATTTGCATCAAGGTGAATGTTTTTGCATCAAGGTAAATGCATTTGCATCAAGGGGAATGTATTTGCATTAAGGTGAATGTATTTGCATCAAGGTGAATGCATTTGCATCAAAGTGAATATATTTGCATCAAGGTGAATGCATTTGCATCAAAGTGAATATATTTGCATCAAGGTGAATGTTTTTGCATCAAGGGGAATGTATTTGCATTAAGGTGAATGCATTTGCATCAAGGGGAATGTATTTGCATCAAGGTGAATGCATTTGCATCAAGAGGAATGTATTTGCATCAAATTGAATGCATTTGCATCAAAGTGAATATATTTGCATCAAGGTGAATATATTCGCCTCAAGTTGAATGCATTTGCATCAAGGTGAATGTATTTAAATCAAAGTGGATGTATTTGCCTCAAAATGAATGTATTTGCCTCAAGTTGAATGCATTTGCATCAAAGTGAATGTATTTGCATCAAGGTTAATATATTTGCCTCAAGTTGAATATATTTACATCAAGTTGAATGCATTTGCATCAAGGTGAATATATTTGCATCAAGGTGAATATATTTGCATCAAGGTGAATGTATTTGCATCAAAGTGAATATATTTGCATCAAGTGAATATATTTGCATCAAGGTGAATATGTTTGCCTTAAATTGAATGCATTTACATCAAGAAGAATATATTTGCCTCAAAATAAATGTACTTGCATCAAGGTGAATATATTTGCATCAAGTTGAATGCATTTGTATCAAGGTGAATGTATTTGCATCAAGGTGAATATATTTGCCTCAGGTTGAATACATTTGCATCAAGTTGAATGCATTTGCATCAAGTTGAATGCATTTGCATCAAGTTGAATGCATTTGCATCAAGTTGAATGCATTTGCATCAGGGTAAATATATTTGCATCAAGGTGAATATGTTTGCCTCAAAATAAATGCATTTGCATCAAGGTGAATGTATTTGCATCAAAGTGAATGTATTTGCATCAAGGTGAATATATTTGCATCAAGGTGAATATATTTGCATCAAGGTGAATATGTTTGCCTTAAGTTGAATGCATTTACATCAAGAAGAATATATTTGCCTCAAAATAAATGTACTTGCATCAAGGTGAATATATTTGCATCAAGTTGAATGTATTTGCATCAATGTGAATATATTTGCCTCAGGTTGAATACATTTGCATCAAGTTGAATCCATTTGCATCAAGGTGAATATATTTGCATCAAGTTGAATACATTTGCATCAAGTTGAATGCATTTGCATCAAGGTGAATATATTTGCCTCAAGTTGAATGCATTTGCATCAGGTTGAATGCATTTGCATCAAGTTGAATGCATTTGCATCAAGTTGAATGCATTTGCATCAAGGTGAATATATTTGCATGAAGGTGAACACATATGCATAATTTCAAAACATCTGTAAGATACAAACATCTGCAAGGTTTGGTACATAACAATAAAATAAAACTCAAGCCAAGCTTATCATGAAAACTGCATCATAACATAGAACAGAACTAGGTGAAGTCTGTTTATTATACAGAAGATGGAAAACATATTTGGAACATTGCAAAACATGAATCACTTATGAGAGATTGGTCATAGGTTATTCAAGGAAGTCAAATTTAAAAAACATCAAGAACAAGACACAGAGTGATAAATGTTGCATTTTGATGAGCAAGATGAACATGATGAATGCAATGTATAAATCTACCCAGCATGCCTAAAACCTTGCCACTAGACTGTTCCTGTATCTGTGAAGTTGAATGGAAATGAATTTTCCAGTTTTTGAGTATTTTCAAAGGACAACATAGAACTTTTTAAAGGAAAATAAAAAATCTCCCGATATGTATCAACTATTGTGATTTTCTGTGCGAGACAACATATTGCAAGAATGGATTCTTTTCTACCCCCCCCCCCCCTCTTCCCCTTACACTTTATCAGTGACTTTTAGATTGCGTTTAGGAGGCCAGGAAACCATTTGGTCTATATCCAGACTTTTATCTCCAACAAGATATTATTAATCAGGCAAGATGTTTAATAGGGTGATAATAAACAACTTTCAAACAAACACTTGTAAACATCCTCAGCTTGGTTTCTTAACACATGTGATGCTTATACAAAGAGGATCAACTTTTTCATAAATTACAACAGCTGTGCTCTTTTTCTGCTTCATTCACATCCCTGAGCACAGAGGTCAGTTATAAGTAAGATGAAGCCCTCTTTTAGGAAGTGAAGTCAAACAACTAGAAAGGGGCTTAGTAGCTTATAACATAATTCTCTGAAATGTATATTATGTCAAGCAACACTTATACTTCTGTCATGCATGGCATGATGTTATACCAGGGGTCCCAAGGCAGGGGTGCTTCACTGGTAGACCTGGGGGAGGGGGATGGGGTGAGCTCAACTTTTTAAAAGTTTCTTCACTCCCAATGTGACAGCTTTCTACTCTGATCATGTGAATACCTTCATGTAGGGCACAAGGACTGATACTAAGTTGTCTGCACTTAGTCTCCCCATATATTGACCTCTCACCCAAAAAGAGGAGGCAAAAGTATTTTGGGAAATACTGCTTTTCCGAAAATAGCAGCTGGGAGCACTTTTGTGCATTTATCACTAAAATGCATCAACCTAACTACAAAAGCAATAAACTTACAACAATGAACTTTCTTTTTTTACAAACCCGAAAAATATATGATAAAAAATATTAAGATATCGCAGTGGGATAGTTGATTATATAGGGCCCACTATAGCGAGGTTAGATTAGTAAACATGATCTTCAATAAAGTAACATAACCAAAGTCCAATTAATCAATTAATTTCTCCAATAGATAAAACATAAGTTTCATTGGTCAAGGTCAGTCAGCAGCTACTGAGTCATAATAAAGGCCATATTGATATATAGCGATTGTCAAAATAATAAGCCAAAAAGCATAACTTAAGATTCTAACAAAGAGGTAAGTTTCTATTAAACCATTTTAAAGATAATCCATCAATAGCTACATGAGAAATATCACATTTTATTGAATTGTAAGATAAAATATGTTATAATCTGATTGTCATGTCTCTTATTCTGTAATTGGGTTGAGTATATTTTGTGATACTTATTATTGGCATAATATTTCCAACAATAAACACTGCAATTATTACTATCGCTCTACAGGATAAGGCAAAATTTTGACCCCAAAAAATTGAGGCCATAGAATTTTTTGGGGATCTAATTAGTGGACCTTTTGGCCATTGGGCTTTTTCCCAAATTTGGGCCTACTTTTTGATTTTAGGGGCCTATAATTGTAATCGAATGTGGGCTCCCTTTGTTAGTTTTCAGATTGGCCCCTGCTTATATGCACATGAATTTATACTTTTAAATGTACTCCTCATTCATGTGTCTCAATTCAGAATTTTATAAATGAATAATATTACATTACATAATGAGAAACAGAACAGTGAATGATAATTAAAACATGTCTATATACAGGCCTGTCAACTGTCCCGCAATTTGCGTATTTGTCACGCATTTGCTGAAGAATTTGAAGTCACGCCAGTTATTTTTGCGTGACAGAAAATGTCACGCAAATACGCATTTTACCTGGTAATTGTCAAGCAAAAATATTTCTGTAGAAAATTTTCTAAAAAAGATCGTCTACACAGCAAAAATACGAATGACGGGAAAAAACGTACGCGAGCGTAGCGAGCGTAGCGAGCGCGAAAAATTTGAGGTGTTCAAAATTTGGCAAGATGTAATAAAATTTAAACCAAGGTGTTCAAAATTTGGATCAAGGTGTTCAGATTTGGACCAAGGTGTCCACATTTTGAGGGGAGGTGTTCAACATTTCCAAGTCACTCATGTTAGGTGTTCCCAAGTTGACAGGCCTGTATATATCCTTAGCAGCCATCAAAATTATTCCATGTTCCATTTTCAGAATAAGAATATTCTACTCCCACAATGCAACAGAATCAACTGAAACACGAAAATGGGTGTGCACGTAGTTGTTACTATTGGAGATCTTTTTGGCTTGCAACAATGTGCCTTTTGCCGGGAATGTCAAAATTCGCTAGGATTGGTGTGCTTTGGGGCTGGATCACTTTGATAATACTATTAAGTTCTTTGATTATTCGATTTGCTACATTTGGTCCCGATCAAACAGAATCCTCACCCGGTGACCAGAGAATTGTGGGTAAAGTCACAAACCTCATGTGTCAAAGTGTCAAAGTAACCAATCGAGAGAAACATGCGATTGACGTATATACATCTGATGGTGTACCACCAATCCTTCAAAATAAAACATTCCAGATTCTCACGCGCTCTACAAATGTGTATGACAATGAAAAACATGTTCATTGGACATTTACTTTGATTTCTGGTACACGTGGGGTTGTCATGACAACAACTTCGGCTAATGTTGAGTTTGTCATCTTCCAAGGGAGACACAACCTTAATCTATTCTTGGGAAAAGTACGGAGGCAACGCTGCAACAATAGATGCTTTTTACAATATCACAAATACAAAGAAGGAACACATCGTGCAAATCTATCTGTATCTACAACGGAGGACTATTTCTTTTTGTACCGCCGATCAAAAGCCTCTGCACAACCTGGGATAAACTTCAGCAAAATCAATGTTACATTTATCCTCAACAGAGCCCTGTATAACCTATCGAATTCCAATCATGCATGCACGCTATCAACATTGGGCAACTCATCATCAATGTGTGATGTGGATTTGCCATATATGACCAACCGACAAGTTGTAATCACTTATGATCCAAAATCGGACACAGAAAATAATATCAAGGTCGTAACTGAGTGCTATCCACGAATCGGAATTTACATGGTATTTTTTCTAGTTATCCCATTGGTTGTTGGTGCAATGGTTTCAGGACTGATCATGGTGCTATGTAAGGAAAATGAATGCTGCGGGAAACGACTGACAATGGAAAACCAGCAAGCAACAGTTCCTACAGTAAATGTGCCTTATGAAAATGCTACACACAGTGACTTGTTCTCTAGTCCAGAGTATAAAGGCACAGTAAGCTTTGAACCTCAGGATTATGGTTCAACTATGACAAAGAAATATTAAATCCTAAATTTATGGCCTAACTATGGATAATAAAAAAGACATGAATAAATGACATATTAAATCTTAAAGTTATAGCCCATCTGTGAAAAAGACATATTAACTCCAGAGTTATAGTCCACCTATGAAAAAGACATATTAACTCTAGCGTCATTATACAACAACTGTGAAAAGTGTACATATATATTAACTCTTTACAGTCTGACTATAGAAATAAACATACCAACTCCAGACATATAAATCATAGTTATTGTCAAAACTTTGAAAAAGACAACCATGACAAAGACACACATTTGAGTCTATCAGGATTCTCATAAAAACACATGTTGTTGAGAAAATATAGACTATAAATGCAAATCTGGTTACTAGTAAATGATCCAGACTTTTATCATAAATAAATAAAAATAATACTATGATTTATTTATTAAAAATTTTGATATTTAATAATATACTTTTCTTCTTATGTTTTTATTATTCTCTTAAAATGCTTTAGGAAAAGGGAACCATGTGGACTAAGCAATCTCTACAGCCTGGGGGATTCACTCTAAATAATTTGGGTAGGTATGTGTAGCATGGGCAACTTTGGCTTTGGGCATCAACCATGGAAAGTGACCAATCTGAATGGAAAAAAGATTGGGGTTGGGTTGTTTTGGCTTATATTACAAGCCAATGAGGTGTGTATTAATGATTAAAAAGAGAATCAGATCTAGCAAGCAGCCAAACAAAAAATTGTGTCAATTTTAGAATATTTCTGGCTTATGCTATTCCTTTTCATGTTTATTTTCTAAAAATCACCAAAGTGCACACTTTATTTCAGGAAAACTAAAGATTTTTACAATAATGTATAACATTTCTATAAGAATGGTTACCATTCCTATTATTTGGGAGAATTTAAACATTTTTCACCCATTTTTGCACTTTGAATCTATTATAACTTCATCAATTTATAACATATTGTGAATCTTTTGGGAGATATTGTATTTGAGATTGTAAGGAACAGATTGGTACGTCAATTGTACATGTTGCTTGTAATTTTGTCACCCTATAGATCTGATTCTGCCTTTAACTTTCCTGTTATCTCAAAATCTGCTTGGAACTATACCATTGGATTACTATGGGGAATTCCTCAAAGAGGAAATTCTTGGGAAGGAAGGGGTACCATTTACACAATTTGACAAATTGTTGGCAAACATGAAACCTATTTAAAACAGCATTATTATTATTCAAAAGTGATCGAAATAACGATTCCCAGCCCTCTGAAGTTTAAAAAATAACAATACCTGGGTGTTATCCATAGATAATCCTTCACCTTGAAAATGAGAAATATCTTTTAGGATTATATGGTGCAATCTTATAGTCAATCAAATGTTTTAAAGTGTATTGATGGTTTTTAGATGAAAAACACAAGCAAAATGCATGAAAAATGCATGAAAAAGCTCCCCAGATTCATTCTACAAACAACTCCTGGTCCTTTGTGCCTTTTAACACATTTTTAATTTTTTCAAATTCATTTCATACGCACGGGCATACTGTAAGTAACAGGCACTACACCCATTAGAGTGAGCAAGCATGAATGGTGATTTACACATAGCTAGGCAAGGTGTGTCCAATTCCAGCCAATCAGCACATGCTATTACACGTAACTGCAATCCGTTATATGACCAATAACAAAGGTCACTAGTTAAAGGGATGCCCGGTGGGTTCACTGTGGACAAAATTTGGCAGGGGTCATAGGCTGAACCCTCAGATATCAATATATTCCCATACCACTCAAATTTCAATATGTTCCAATACCAACCAAAATAATGCCCAAAAGCCATACCAAATGTCAAAATATAAAACCAATGCCATACCAAATGTCAAAAAATATAAGACCAATGTCATACCAAATATCCAAGATCAATGCCATTCAAAATGTCTAAAGCCTCGGGAAGGAGGCAGATCTTTGAGGAAAACGATCCAAACAAACTCAAATCAGTTAATCTACAAATTAAAATTTATACTTTGCCAGCTTGACCCTTGCAAAAAGTTTCATTCAAAATATGTTCTTTAATGATTTTGTATCTTTTAGATGATCTTATAGAAAATATTTTGCAATGTGTAATAAGAATTTAGCCTTACACTCAATTCAGTGTGTAATGACCATTCCTTTCAGGGCTTTGTTTCCCAAAATTACATTTGATGTTCCGCATCTCCGGAAGAAATACCTTCAAGGAATGGTCATTCCACATTGCAGTGAGTCCAAGGCTTTAAATCAACCCCACATTTATGGGGGTACATGCAAGGATCAAGAGGTCATGAAGGTAATTTCACTTTCGTTTTAGGAAGTCATCCATTGCGCCAAAATTTCAAATTTTCCTCCCACTTAATTTTGTCAAATTTGTGTTGTCTCACCGTCACACATACGAGCTACCAAGTCCTTAATCAAGGGAACATACCAGTTTGTAGTTTTACCGAAGATTCTCCGCTTAATTCCACCGGGTAGAGTACAATCTGAAGCATACTGCAGGTGATATTTTACCACCCTATTATCGCCCACCGGTATTTTCCTACAATTTTAATATGGGTGTAAAACCACTTACACTATTCCTGGTGATCTTGATTTGCTGTATCTCAATAACAGTAAAACCTACCTTTGATTCACAAACAGTTCTTCAACTTACTCTGGCCAGAATTCCCCAACCATGGTCTTTTTCTAGCTTTCTCAAAACCCAAAATTTCAAACCCAGCCGACTCAACTCAGTCTTCATGATGCTTATCATCCTCCAAGGAGACGACCTAGAAACAAACCCAGGTCCAAGGCCCCCTAAGTTCCCGTGTCAGCTTTGCTCAAAGGCAGTGAAATATGGTCAGCGTGCCATACAGTGTGATCAGTGTGACACTTGGCTGCATATTAACTGCCTACAGATGTCATCTCTCTGCTACAACACCTTAGCAAACAGTAGCACTTCATGGATATGCTGCTCATGCGGACTACCCAACTTCCATTCTTCCTTTTTTGATTCAACAATAGATTTTGAAACTTCCAATACCTACAGCAATTTGTCATCATCATCAATAGGCTCTATTCCCTCTCCTCAGGCAACTTCATCGCCACACTGTCCCCGTACCCGTCAACATAAAACGGCGAAAAAACAGTTGAAGCTTCTCACTGTTAACTGTCGGAGCCTCAGGTCTGAAGAGAAGTGTAACCAACTACTTGTTCTCTCTGAGACCCACCAACCTGACATCATTGTTGGATGTGAGTCCCACCTAGATGGCACCTTCTCTAACAGTGAAACCTTTCCACCAGCTTATGTGACATACAGGAATGACAGGAAGAAAGGAGGCGGTGGAGTATTCCTCTCTGTTCACCGCAACATTCTGTCTTCACCAGTTCCATCCCTCGAGAATAATAGTGAATCCGTATGGGCGAAGATTTCAACATATGGAAATAAACCAATTTATGTGGGATCGTTCTACAGACCACCAGACAACGACCCACTGCCTCTTCACGAACTCAATGCATCTCTCACTAAAATTCCCCACAGTAACTCTACACCCCACATCTTAGTCTCTGGAGATTTCAATCTTCCAGATGTAGACTGGGAGGACAATACCATCAAGACCTCTCCAGCATATGGCCATGATACCAACGAGGCCCTCCTTAATACCATCAAGGAGTCTTTTCTACACCAAGTGAACAAAGTTCCAACTCGAGGCAAGAACATCCTCGACCTCTTCTTTACTACCATACCTGGTTTAGTGGCAAACTCCATCGTAGCCCCAGGGATGAGCGATCATGAGATCCTGATCACTACCATCAACATCAAGGCAAAGCCAGTGAAGAGAGCCCCAAGAACAGTGTTCCTTTACAACAAAGGTAACATGGATGGAATCAAAGAAGATCTGAGCAACCTACATCCTAAGCTCTCTGATGATTCCATCTCCACTGAGGCAAAGTGGAACTTGTTCAAGTCAACCATTGCTGAATCCATCAAGAAGCATATTCCATCCAAAAAACTTAGTACCAGATGGGACCTACCATGGATGAACCGTTCCATCAAGAAGATGATTCGCAAAAAGCAGCGGCAGTTCAGGAAATCCAAGAGTACCAACAAGAAGGAAGACTGGGCCCTCTACAGACAACTGAGGAAGAAGATCTCCAAAGCCCTAGCTAGCTCACACAACAACTACATAGCTGGTCTTCTAGAACTCCCTGCCAATGCTGACCCATCTAAAGCATCCATTGGTAAGAAATTCTGGACCTACATCAAATCCAGAAAAACTGACACAGTGGGTATTAGCATACTTCGTGAAGGAAACACTGAAACCAGCTCCAGTAAAGACCAAACGGAGATACTGAACAGACAATATCAATCAGTGTTTACCAAAGAAGACCTGACGAAGATACCAACCATGAATGAGAGTCCCTATGCTGGCATGCCTGTCATAACATTCCAGACAGAGGGTATCCTGAAGCTCCTTTTGAATGTCAACCCAAAGAAAGCTTCAGGACCTGATGAAATACCAGCAAGGATACTCAAAGAAGCCGCTGTGGAAGTTGCTCCTCTTCTCCAGATGATTTTTAAGTCATCCTGGTCAGATGGAGTAGTTCCCAAAGACTGGACTCTGGCCAACGTCACAGCCATCTTCAAGAAGGGTGATCCAACTAGTGCTGCCAACTACAGACCGGTATCTTTAACATCTATACCCTGTAAGATAATGGAGCACATTATCTTCCACCAAATTATGAACCATCTTGACAAGAACAACATCCTGAAGCATTACCAACATGGCTTCAGAGGTAAGCACTCCTGTGAATCCCAGCTGGTCCTCACTGTAGAAGATCTTGTGAGATCACTGGATCTTGGTTGTCAATCTGATGTCCTGATACTCGACTTTAGCAAGGCTTTTGATACCGTAGCCCATCAACGGTTGCTTGTGAAGTTAGAGTATTACGGCATCAGGGACAGGACCAAGACCTGGATCACGGAATGGCTAACTAGCAGAACACAGAAGGTAGTTGTGAATGGGGAAATATCTAAACCAGCCAAGGTAACATCTGGAGTCCCACAAGGCACTGTGCTTGGTCCTTTGATGTTTCTCCTGTACATCAATGACATTGGCGATGGACTCACATCATCTGTGAGACTGTTTGCTGATGACTGTGTACTCTACCGAACCATCAAGTCAGCGGCAGATGAAGCTGAGCTGCAGAATGACCTCACCAAACTACAACAGTGGGCTGAACGGTGGCAGATGGACTTCAATGCCAAAAAATGCTACACATTGAGAGTACACAGAAAACGCGAGCCAAGAACTGCCGCATACATCATGAAAGGCCAAGTAGTACAGGATGTACCCCATAACCCCTACCTTGGTGTGGAACTAGAATCCAACATGAAGTGGACCACTCACATCAACAACATAGTAAATAAAGCCAACCGTTCCCTTGGCTTCCTGAGGCGAAACCTCCACAGCTGCCCACGCAACATCAAAGCCACAGCTTACAATTCTCTGGTCAGGCCCCACTTAGAATACTCTTCTTCAGTTTGGGACCCTTACCAGAAGAAGGACAAAGCACGGGTAGAGATGGTTCAGCGTCAGGCAGCAAGGTTTGTAACCAAACAGTACTTTAGGGAGCCAGGAACCATCACCAAGATTTACAAAGATCTGGAATGGAAACCACTTGAAAACCGAAGACAAACCAAGAGACTCACCCTATTCCATAAAGCCCTTCATAATGAAATAGCAATACCCATTCCCCCCTACATCGAGAAATCCAACAGAACTGGCAGAAGAGCCCAACAATTCATTCCTCCCTTTGCCAGAACTGATACCTACAAGAATAGCTTCTTTCCCAGAACAATAACAGATTGGAACAACCTCCCTTCCACAACCAGGATGATAGAAGACAGTACTGCCTTCCGTGATGCCCTGGTATCTAGTATGCAGGGTTAGCTCATGACACGAGACCTGTTTTTAGACAGTATTTTAATTGTACATACTGCCATTTTAGACTTTTAGCTTGGATGACTTCCAAAACTAATTGTGTTGCTCTTTAAAGAGCTTTAATTAGTATAATGATAGATGTAGATGTAGATAGAAAAAAAAATATTGATATTTTTCAAAAAAATAAATCACATCTTTATTGATTAACCACATTTGGCAGTCACACAAACCCAAATATAACACTCTAAATGATATAGTAAAAAATAATTCATACCTCAATCATGCTATTCTGGCCATAAAATACTGCAAACGTAAGACCATTGCAAAATTTGAAAAAATGGGGACGTTCCGCCTTATCTCGCGGGAAAACAGCAAATCACGCCATGTGCATGTTTCCGGGTACCGCTTTGCACATGCGCACATAAGTCGGAGCGTCCCCTTAAATTTTGAACAACCATTATGATTTGGTGCATTATCTGACCAATAAAGCAGATTTGGAGGTATGAATATTTTTTTTATTTTTCTGTTTAGTGTTTTCAACAGGCATTATGTGTCTCAGGATATTTGTTTAACGAAAACTAGACAAATAATTTATTTTAAAAATACATATTTTTTATTTTGGATGGAAGATGCGTTACCTAGTGTATAATATATACCTCCTAGATGGAGGACTTCCCGCTATCCGTGGGTACATGTACTTACCAACTACTGCCACCAGCAAGAGACAAATCACTGAGATTTTGTGCATATCCACCCCTTAAATCACCCCTGTAAAGTCGAAAAAATGTAGTTCAATATTGGTAAACAAATAGGAGTTTATGTATAGCTCTCATGCGATTGTGTGAAAACTAAAAGTTAAAGTCACACTTGGAGTTAATTTAAATTTTCTCACCTGAAAACTTTTTCCTAACTTTTCCAACTTTCCTAGCTTTACGGAGTGAAGAAATGCTAGAAATTTGTTTTTGATTTCAAAGCTCAAAAATCATTCTATTGCAATATCAAGGTGTATAATTGAAATATGTGAGGAAAAATAATCAAATTGTACGCCAATGATCCACACTCTGATTTAGAAAATGAAGTGAATCAATGATTTTTTGCAATGAAAAAGCGAGCGTTCCTAATATATTTTATTTCTATGTTCGCTCAAATTTACATACTTAATGGTAATTTTGTGATGAAGTAACAATAATATATATAATTGATAACTATTTTTAATTATAGACTGCAAAAAAAACAGCATTCAAAAGGAACATTTTCCACTCAGAATCTTAAAAATCCTGGATATACTTTCAAATTTCTGTTGTTCGTGAATTTGCAGTAAAACTTCCGGCATTTTAAAAATCACGAGAAAATTTCCACACTGTTTATTCAGTTTAACAGGTCATCATCATGATTCGAATGCAACCAAGTGGTCCTTCAGACTCAACTGAAGAAAATAAAGAGGCTAGGAAAGCGACATTGACAACAGCAGCCACGTTTGTTGCCACAATTACGCTGATTCGTGCAGGTGATTTTTTTCTCAGCTCAACACCTAACCAAACCCGTCTGGCCCAGTTATCTACTCCCGACCTCGTAGATCTGGGCCAGACTCGATCCAATGCAAAAAATGGGGTATTTACTCCGGAAAACACACACTGGTTTTTCAATGTATAATACGTGCTGATAAATGAATAAACATCATAAAAATCACTTACGTGTTTGTTCTTTGTATCAAACTTTGTATTTATATTAGGTTTCCATCGCTGGATGACGGCTAATAAATAAGAACGAAACGTCTAAACGCAGCAAAAAGAAAAATTCTTCTGCAATCTGTTCGTGATCTCGTAGAATATCGAGAAGTCTCGGCTGCTTATTTCGTTCAGTACTACATTCCGTCAGTTCAACAAATTGAAAAATCGTATTTAATGTCCACCATATTTCTTTCCAGTTTAAATACAACACAGACACGTCTGTTTTATAAAGTAATCTACATTTTGATAACAAATCTGCTGAACAGATCGTAATATTTGGAATGTATTGATTCCCGGGAAATGTATTTTCGTTCCATGAAAGTTTAAAAATTATCGCGTCACACTCGTGTTACGTCACATCACGTGACTTTATTCGGTGCGGAGAACTGACGAAATATTGACGAAATGTTGTGCCCATTTCAACATCAATATAACAAACAAAACACCACATTTACGCGTAAGTTATGTTCTCTTTATTTCAAATAAATACTTGGGTTTACATGGTACCCGATGTTTTGGTTGGATGGCTAATAGGGAATGAATAATAAGTGATGATTCAGCAGTGTGTTTTTTCCGGAGTAAATACCCCTTTTTTGCATTGGACCTAGTCTGGCCCTAGATCTACGACAATTCAGAATCGGGAGTAGATTACTGGGCCAGACGGGTTTGGTTACTCAACACCAGGCTCAACACTTGAGCTTCACTTGCTCTTACCCCGCAGCAGTTACAGTACAGTCTATCTTTTCCCCTGATTCATAACTTGTAGGCCTAGTTTGTATTTTACCTTCAGATTACAAGTCTCAAGTTGTTGTCATTCTTTGATTTCCTATCATGGATGTCTTCATCACCGATAAATGTGAGGGTACAATCAGAAGTTTTTTTCTGACTACTAAAAGATATATATATACATGTACTGTACCTATAGTCAAAACAGAAATGTTTGTGACGACTTTAAATTTAAAAATTAAGCAATCAAATGACCATATTGAAACAGTTTATGTAAAAATAGAAACATTTATATTTATCCTAACTTTTGTATAAAAGAAAAACTCTACAAATTATCTTCAAATGCCACTTACAAAAGGGTGCCACGCCTACCCAAAACACTCGTCACCATAGCTCTTATAATAATGCAATGTACTTTATTCTAGGTAACAATGTATCTTTTATTTCCAGCTCCATATGTAATACAACAAGTCTTTGGCTAAAAGCTACAGAGAACCGCAGCATGACCAACTACACATTCAAAGAATAGAACAGGACAGAATGACAATTGATATACTCTAGTGAATATTGTACATAGTGTAAAGAAAATTGTGTACATAAACAACATGTGTGAATGGAAGTACATTGCCACAACACCTGGAGTCCACCCTGATTTGAATAATTGACATACTAGTGACAAATGCAGCCAACTTATACATAATCATTGGAATCTGAATTCAAGCTAAATATGTATATGTACCGACATAATGATTACAAACAATTCCTGGCGACAAATTAAGTAAATAGAATGAACATGGATGTTTAGAGATTCTTCTTCCTCCAGGGACACAATTTACTAGAAATTTAAAATTCATCAGGATTATTTATGGAACCAATTGGAGCCTTCAAAATTCACCCTGTGATTCAAAACAACCATTTGTTTTTTTTTAGAATAAACTCATCTATCAAAGATTTATGTGAAGTATTGTTTATTGTTTATTGCTATAGGTGGCACTGAACTGCAAATTATAGGTCACTTATCTTTTGAGTAACATTTCTCCGAATCTGTTAACAAATAGGAAAATCCATAGAACATTTAGTCCAAAGCAAATTTGAAAATAGTTTAATGTAACAGAAAAGATGATAAAGACAAAGGGATGTTGGATTAATTGTGAAAATCTAAGAGATATAGGTGTTTGAATAAACATGTATTCGTGAGTGAAATTCCTTTAATGCTAAATAAACTTATCAAATAAACTTTATCAGATATAACTTTGTCAAACTTAACTGTTTATTGGAATCTGTATATTATAGACTTTCCTCAGGCTTACACCAAACTTTTTATTTGTTCATTAGTTGATACTATTCAAAAACAGTATGGGTTTAATGATAGCTGATGAATTTTTAAATAACTACTCACACAAAGAATGAGGGGACCATACTGCCATTACCATCAAAAACACAAGACAGTACTCAATTTATTTTATTTCTAGACTCTCCCATAAAACCTGGTCACATTATACACTGTAAATATACCACAGGCCCAGGAACATGTATGAATGATTAGTACAAAATTGAAGTTTGTCCAATTGGAGCTTGATTTTCTCCTCAAAAAATCTTTCTTAGGGGCCAAGCAAGATCAGGCTCCGGTTGAACAAACTTTGATATTGTATTTGTGAATGTTTCTTGGCTTCTAGTATACATACATAGTAATCATCCACAAGGTTTCATGCATTGTGACATCTATTTGTTTAAATCAAAGCACACAAAAGTTGATGAATACAAAATTTTTCTCAACATCTGCATTTAATAATCTGCAAAAGACTAATTAGCCCAGTTAACAGGTTAAGGTACAGCTGGAAAACATTTTGGTAAAAATTGCTATACCTGCACATGTTATTTTCTGGTATGAAATTAATTAATGTTTCTATGACTAGACCCAGCACTATTGACCCACTGGTAGATCATCTAAACCTTTTGGGCATAATTTTCTGGCCTTTTTTAGGCCAAATTATTAATAAATTGGCCTTTGATTCAAAATCTGGGTTCGATGGGCCCAAAAAAATTTATTCGCAACTGGACATTTTTTCCTGTCTTGATATGTGTCCTCCCACTTGTTTGCTTCTGGACCTGCCAGTGTGACCTCTGTAGCCTTAAGAGGCATAACCTCAAAGTAAAAATAATGCAAATTTGATTTCAAGACCTTGTCCTTAAGTTGACTCTTACTTATCACGTTCCTCTAGGTGTATCTATAAAATAAATAAAAAAGTTATCTTGTACATCATGTACTCTAAAAAGTACGAACGCTGGCATAATGGCGCGTTCATATTTCTAGCGGAATAGCCTCGTTCTGGATCTAATTGTAATTTCATGACACGCCCCAACTTAGAAAGATCGCACTGGTAAAAAGTGCTTTCGAACATTTGTTTATTTCATCGTAAGTATGAATCTTCACAAATGAAACTCAATGCATAAACAATCTCTATAATATCAGTATCAAATATGTAAAATGTGACGGGCAGATGTTGCTTATTTCCCGTGCATTATGCGATTTCTAAAAGTAGGTCACCGTTGGCGTTTTTCAAATCTTTTGTTTGATGTTGTTTGTCGATCATGCGACACTGCTTGATCAAGGCACTGAAAGCTATTTACATTGGCTCTAGCCATGGACGTTCGAATGTGGGGGATGGGTGTCCCCTTTTTTGAGCAATTTTTTTTTCAATAAGTTTCCCTTTAGCATTTAGAAGGTTACGAGGAGACATGATTGAGATGTACAAGATCATGAACAACTTCTACGACATCAACCCCAAGACTATCTTTCCTCAATTGAACAATATAACAAGACAACCAGCAAGAGGACACACAATGTACCTAAAACGACAACACTGTAGACTTAACACGAGGCAGCATTTCTTTTCCAACAGAGTCATATCACCCTGGAACAAACTGCCTGAATATGTTATCCAAGCAAAAAGTGTTGACCAGTTCAAGAACAGGTTGGATGACCATTGGTACAGCCACCCACTGAAATTAGACTGGGAGCATAAGCCTTAATTGAAAATACGCCAAAAATTGACTTGATGTGTATACCAAATACACACACCCATACAGGCAAAAGGCTACATAAGCCTACAAGCCGGTGTTTTTCTTATCTTATCTTATCTTATCTTTGTCTATGTCGATAATCTGCAAAAGGCTAATAAGCCCATATAAAGCAGATATATAATTTAAGGTGCCATGGAAGTTAACAGGAAATGACGAAACAGGAAGTGACAAAAAATTTGAATTTTTAGACATTTTTTGAACAAAGATAACAGAGTTCTGTTTTGACCTCCAGTCAATTTAACTATTTCCATATATCATTTACATGACCAGGATCACAATGTGCTTGGTCAGAATGATCCTAAACATGATGCAATAACCTTTTTAGCCCTTTGAAAGTGTGACTGAAAAAACGCTAAAAGTAGGAGCAAGGGAAGGTCACTGAACAAAATCTTTTGAATTTTTCAGAAAATGTGCCCAATATAATGCTCTAACTGATACAATCTTTGAAATTTTAGAAAATTGTCTGAAACAAAATGGCAGGCATAAAAAGGAAAATAGATCGCTTTTCAAATCAGTTTTTTCATTTTTTTCTTTTTCTATGAATGATATCAAATTTTCAAAGATTGTATCATTTAGAGCAAGATATTGGGCACATTTTCTGAAAAATTCGAAAGATTCTGTTCAGTGACCTTTCCTACCTCCTTCTTTTAGCTATTTTTCAGTCACATTTTCAGAGGGCTGAAAACTTTATTTCATCATGTTTAGGGTCATTCTGACCATGAACATTGTGATCCTGGACCTGTAAATGGTTTTTGGAACTAGTTGAATTGACTGGAGGTCAAAACAGAACTCTGTTATCTTTGTTCAAAAAATGTCTAAAAATGCAACAATTTTTGTCGCTTCCTGTTTTGTCATTTCCTGTTAACTTCTATATCACCTTAACAGTGATAGAATTTGAATAGAATATAATTTAAAACCTTAACATTTAAAAATAGATCTATGGTTTGTAACTCATTAAAATTGGGGTTGGCCCCTGTACCCCCCTAGGAAGTCCCTTTATGTTGAAATACCCTGGGGCGACTGTCAGGCTACCGCATTGACATTACCCCTCTTTACCAGTAGTGCAGGCTTGTTGCTGTGCACTTGGGACCCTTTACATTAAAACATAGATCTATATTAAAAACACACCTATTTAATTGCAGTTATTGACATAGGCATAGTATGATGATTTAAAACTACTTAGACTGTCACAGTCTAATATGTCACCAGGTAGAGTGTTCCATTTAGCTATTGTCCTAGGGAAATAGCTTAATTTGTATGCATCCGTTCTAGTTGATGGTTGTATGAACTTAGAACCTAGTGTTGTTATTGATCTGTTGGCGGAAGTATGGAGGCATGTCGATGGCTGCTAGGTTCTGCTTTCCTTTTCTGCTTCCGCATTGACATCTCCCCTCTTTACTAGTAGTGCAAGCTTGTTGCTGTGCACTGGGGACCTTTTACATTAAAACATAGATTTATATTAAAAACACACCTATTTAATTGTAGTTATTGACATAGGCATAGTATGATGTGTTAAAACTACTTAGACTGTCACAGTCTAAGGTGTCACCAGGTAGAGTGTTCCATTTAGCTATTGTCCTGGGGAAATAGGGAGACTATTTCTATTTATTTAAGATGCAACAGGCATATTTGCCCTCTATGCAAATAACATTTATCCGTGTTCTACCTGGCGCCTGCTCCACATATTATGATTTATTTTACGCCACACATAAATTAAGAGCGCCACACATAAGACTTTTTGACAGAAAAATTTGATCACCCCAAATAGGGCTAAATAGGGGTTTCGCTAGAGTTTCTCACAATGGGCTAAATAAATAAAAACAGGCAAAATTAATGGAAATCATAAATTAAACATGGAAGAGTTAATTTAAAACTGCTGCTAATGAAACCCCTGCCAAAGGAAAATGGAAATTAAAAAAAACAAAGCTTTAATTGTACTAAAATCTCAGCCCTTTTGCTTAAAAATGATTCAAAATGCCCCATGTATATAAAGAAATGTCTGTACTTACCTTTCTTGCACTAAAGAGTTGAATTTTCCTTGTATTTTGATTAAAACCAGTTTAATTTGCAGAGAAATGAAACATGATTTTCTGTGTAAACGGTCAGAGCCTCATTTTGAAAAGTACACTGAATGAAAATGAAGAAGAGTGAACATTTTTCCGGGAGTTTCTTCAATAATTAAAGTTGGATACTGTGGGCTTTCAAACCACCATGGTTTGGAAATGGTGAAAGAAATTCAATTACATGTATTCATTTATATATGGTCCAAACTGTAAAGTATTTTTATAAGACATATTGTGCAGTTATTTTCCACTCATTTGTTTTATTTTTTATGATTTTTAGGTGAGAACTCACAGCAGTCTTGTTGCTTTGCTCGCCCTGCTAAATCAAAGGTGACTTAGAATAAGAAGAGTCCCCTTAAGGCCACTGCCATGACAATGGGTTCTACAAATGCAATGCTCGCACAACTAATACAAGATGCTGTGTTGAAACTATGCACACAAAATGTTGTGTTCAATCGTTCATTGGAGATCGATGGGATAATATGTGTATCTCCTGGTGATGAAGCTAAAGAGATTGTCGTAAAAATGCATAGGACCATAATGAAACCAATGATTTCACAAGAAACACCCGAAACAACAACAAACTGGTCAACAGAAAATGAACAATCATCTGCGTATTATCCAAGTAATGAAGCAATCGAATCATTTCCCGAGACACTTCCCCAAAGACCCCTTCACAGTACTCCAACACAGAGGAAAAGACAGATGAATAATAGAGACAATGTTCACAGATCTGCAACTACAACTCATCCAGCCAGCCCTTATGTGTACAACTCACGGACTGAAATTAACCCTCCTGTGCCTACTGCTACTCAAGTTACCCCAGGTGGTGTAGTTGTGGCAACTGAAGGGTTAACAATAAAAGGTGACTTTTTTATTATACGTAATTTTAAGATGTTAAAACAAATAAATAAAGATATGTTCATCAGTTTTTTATATTCAACATGTAATAGTTTAAGCATCATAATAATATGAATTTTATTTGATACAGTGTTTACAGTAATGTCAGTATGAAGTCTCCACTTCTACTTTATTCTTGTAGTAACTGTGTATTTAATGTCCATTTTCAGAAGAGCCTCCGTCTTCCCCCAAACGCATTAAACGATCCCTCTCTGAAGACACGCAACAAGACACTCCCGGACATTCCACAGAAAAACAACCCAAACTTGACCAAACCCCCGGTGCTAATGATAATCAAAACATGGACAATATAAACATTAAACAAGAAAAAGAAGAACCTATAACTATTGAACTAGGGGATGATGATGATGAGGAAGAGGATGGGGGAGGGGGTTATGATGAAGATTCAACTGCGGGAGCGAGCTGGATGGGAGACGACACATTAGATACTTCAGCTAATAATCAAGCAGATCAGAATACAGGTGAATATAATCTTATTTACTCAGGCCAACTCAAAATATCTTTTAAACATAGACATTCACACACTCACAATCATCTAGCCACATCACACTCATTTGCCCTATGTTACTCCACGGTCTCATCTTGAATAACTTTTTATGGAAAAACAGACATACATGTAATTATTATTATGGGTTACAATTAATGCAGATTACTAACTTCATTTACTATTCTCTTGAGGGTTTTTATATTATTATGAATATTAAATCATTTTGTCAGTGAAAATTTGAAGATGGAATGACTTCTCTCCGGGAATGGGAGTAAACTGTAAGACTGTCTAAATATATAAGAACATCATTTCAAACTCTTAACAGTGTGAAAACAACACTTTGTAACATAAAATATGTGATTCCTACACTTCAAAACATAAATGTACAATATAACACACAATCACAGATTATCTTTATACATACACTACATGTAACAATACAGTAAATCTTGTGTAGTATACTCATAGATATTTTGAGTTGGTGACCAGTGATAGAATATAGCACATGAAGAATGATGCTCCAGATACTGATGACAAGCAATAAGTCTTGTAACAAAGAAGTGAAGAGGCACAAACACACAATATGAGCCATGTCCATACCTTTTCTTTAAGAGAGTATTAAAAAGAAATTTAATATTTCATGAAAATTAGATGGGAAAGTACTGGTACGGGAGTTTTAAAGCATTGAAGCAACACAGTTAATAGAAAAATCTATTTGTACCCAGTTGGAAATTCATTTGCTCCCAGTTGAAAATCCAATTTTTGCTTGAAAATCTACTTGTTCCCATTTGAAAATCTACTTGTACCCAGTTGAAAATTCATTTGCTCCCAGTTGAAAATTTATTTGTATCCAGGTGAAAATCCATTTGCTCCCAGTTGAAAATCCCCTTTTTGCTTGAAAATCTACTTGTTCCCATTTGAAAATCTATTTGTTCCTAGTTGAAAATCTAATCACTCCCAGTTAAAAATTTATTTGTATCCAGTTGAAAATCCATTTGCTCCCAGTTGAAAATCCATTTGCTTCCAGCTGAAAATCCATTTTCCTCAGTTGAAAATCTATTTGCTCTCAGTTGAAAATCTGTTTGCTCCCAGTTAAGTTGAAATCCATTTGTTCACATTTGAAAATCTATTTGTACCCTGGGTTGAAAATATGTTTGCTCCCAGTTGAAAATCCATTTGCTCACATTTGAAAATCCATTTGTTTCCAGTTGAAAATCATTTGTTACCACTTGAAAATCCATTTCTACCCAGTTGTTGAAAATCTATTTGTTCCCAGTTGAAAATTCATTCTTTGTGAATGCTTCGTCATAAACTCTGGTTGTTGTTCCTTTACATGTCGATATATTCTATCACTGTTTTATAACAAATATGTAATTCTCTTATGTAAAATGTAAGTTTAAAGTTCACAATTTAAGTATACTAGAATGTTAGAGGGCATTTTAAAGCGTCCTCAATTTTTTTTAATATCTGAAACTATTAAAGCATGAGAGTTGCAAGCGTTTTGAACAGACATCTACAAAGGGATAATTTTAACGCTGGTTCTCAAATAAATACATTGGTTCTTGAGACCAATACAAGGACTAGTTTACTAACTAACTTTACAGGGCTACTAACTAACTTTATAAGGATTGTAATACAAGGGACCTGGTTGAACATCAATGTGTTTTTTGTGATGCATCCATTTAAATGACAAATAGACAAAAATGTCTGTCTATATGCTTTTCTGAATACGCTGATTCTGTAATAAAGAATTTTCTTTATAAAAATATTGATATTTGCCCAGGTTCCTAATATTACACTAGTATGATTTAGTTGATGATTAAGGTCTACAGAAGTGCTTTAGTCAATTAAAGTAATTAATTAGTTAGATAATTACAATGCATGGTGGAGTCAAAAGTAAGCCTTCTCTGGGTTATGTTATGAAGACATACTACTTCTCCCTGTGTTGGATAAAGCCCTGGACAAATGGCAAGGAGACTAAAATCTATAATAGTTATATTTTCGATGACTATTCAATTTGATCATTTGATAATTGAATTATCAATGATGTGTCCAGCCCATACTGACATAAACATAGCTTATGTTTTTATTATGAAATAGCAGTTGTCTTATCCTTGCAATCTTGCATGGTACTTAGAAATATGTACATAAGACGATGGAAGTTTGGCTCTTTAACTACAAACCAGTACTACAGTAAAACTGGCGGATCACATTCTTTTAACTGGATGCAGAATGATTATACATTAAACTGAACTGGCAAGTTGATTGGATTGGGAAGTTGTTTGGATTGACAGATATTCACATTTCAAGATTTTAACACTGAACTAGGTACATGCATATAGGATGGAAAATGTGCTAAATATTGGATAAAAGAACTGTATGGATGTATATAGATGGAGGTTTACTGTGTGCTATTACTAATGAAGCCATTATAATATTTGCAGCATGCTGTAATAATGATTAAATAATGGGCTTCTTCATGAGTAAATATATTGATTGTAAATGTTGGCTGTTGTACTAGCAAGTAGTCAATGAGCTGAAATGGACTTGGAGTTTGTGAATTCAAAATAAGAGAAAGTTGGATTGATGGATGGATAGATGGATGGATGGATAGACAGAGAGTGAGAGGGGGAGATGTCTAAATCTTAAGATGCCACACTTGGTTAAGTACAGTACCTGACTGAATGGGAGATAATTGACGTGGCTACTTAATAACTGCGGCATTACACGACCTCATTGAACCATTTTAGACAGTGGAGACGATGACCCCATTTAACGTGAAGTACGGCAATTGCCATGTTGCACGACAATTGACGTGAAATTATGAAGCATAAGTGCGCATGTCAATAGATAATAACGACAATTGCCGTCATGTCCGTCAAGTGACGTGCAATATTTTGCACGACAATTGACGTGCAAACTATTATCTTGTAATAGTTTCACATATTATCGGCAGGACGACAGGCAGTTATAAACTGGGAAACTACGTGGGTAAATCATGATCTGCATCGTATGTTATAGTTATCCCATCGAACGAAGTTCGGAGGGATATAGGGAACGCCTCCGTCCGTCCGTCCGTCCGTCCGTCCGTACGTACGTACGTCTGTACGTACGTCCGTCCGTCCGTCCGTCCGTCTGTCCGTCCGTCCGGGCAATAACTCAAATACGGTTGGCCAGATTTTGTTCATATTTTGTACACATATACCCTATGGGGTTAGAAGTTCTGCTCGAAAGCCGATTTACAGTAATTTAGGTGCAATATGTACACTGTAATAGCAATATGTTTTAAATGTAAAAAAATTATAAAGGACGTTAATAATGCTACAAATGTAGATATTAAAGAAGCACATGGCAGCCATCTTGAAAAATGGCGGCCTTTACTCGTCATTTTACGATTTTTGCTGTAACTCAAAAAGTAGTGGAGCGATTTTGTTCATATTTGGTATGTGGATACTATAAGCATTGCACACTGTCTAAAGACACTTTTGGTAGAAGGTGGCCATTTTTCAAAATGGCCGCCATTTTAACGTATTTTACTATAACTCGAAAAGTAGTGGAGCGATTTTGTTCATATTTGGTATGTGAATACTATAAGCATGGCACACTGTCCTATGACACTTTTGGTAGAAGGCGGCCATTTTGAAAACAATTTTCAAAAATGGCCGCCATTTTAACGTATTTTACTATAACTCGAAAAGTAGTGGAGCGATTTTGTTCATAATTGATATGTGAATACTTTAAGCATGGCACATTGTCTAATAAAACTTTAGGGAGTAGTCGGCCATTTTGAAAAATGGCCACCATTTTTATGTGTGTTATTTTACAAGCATGTGTGCGATTTTTCAAAAATTTTAGAGGTGGCTACTTAAAAGCATATTATTTCTTCTGATGACAACTTGGCTAGTGAGCAACCATTTTGAAAATGGTGGCCTTTCTGGTGTGTTGTTTTATGATATTTGCGCTTCGTTTGTAAAAATGCCAGCCATTTCTGTTCGATGGGATTCGCTACGCTTTGGCGTTGCCGTTGTTCTGGTTATAATCATAAACACTTGCTATTGTCCGGGTTGCATTTTGAACTAACAACTATTATGATGTGCATACGTCAATGTTTACAAGAAATATTTATTCAACAGCAAACCGGAAGTAAACAAACGATGGAAAGAAAACTAATAAATTCTGATCTAATGAGGAAATGAATTTAAATTTTTTATAATTCATTTAAGGTAATCATTAGATCATTGCAAAGAAGGTTTAAAAACTAAATCCAGCCATGAAAAAAACGAAAAAATCAGCAACACATCGAGGTCAGGAAAACACTTCCGGTCAAAAAGAAGAGGGAAAGTAGACCCCATTTTAGTGATTTCCAGTGGTCTTTTCTCGGAATTGGGGCTCACGTTGTGTTAAAAGATTAAAATACCATCGGGTCAGTACCAATTTTGTCCTAAAACCCGTCGGAAAGACGATATCTAGGCAATTGAAGAAGTATTACTAATTCCAATATGGCGTTTTTCTAGGATTCGTGAGAGGTAACTTTGATTAGTTTTAGCGCAAAATTCCCACATAGGATCGCGAATTCCTACATACAAGTGCTAGATTAGATTAAATACTTGAAGAAAATGCAATAAAAAGCGTTCCATCGATCGATTTAGACTTTCCAAGAATGCAAGTTCGGTTGACAGAAAATTCACAAGATTGAACGGCATTTTCTCCACAATTTTGGAATGAAATACTCCCCTTGGATTTAATATATCATTAATGTTTACCTAAATATACGTATTATAAAAGAAATATTACTTAGATTGTATATATAGTAAATACTGGGTCTTCTAATTAACCTGGTGTTTCAAATTATGAATTACAATGGACATTCTGCTTATTGGCGTGATTCACGTCAATTGACGTGCAAAATGGCAATCTCCGTGTTACACGTTAAATGGGGTTATCGTCTCCACTGTTAGAAGGAATGTAACAACCAAATCAAAAAAGGGCTTTAACCAGAAACTTGCAAATATACATGATTGACTTAACACAAGGATCTCACAAGTCTCGAACGCACACCCCCATGGTTATGGCACAGCACCTAGCTTGGCTTGTCCAGCGCTCTAGACCGCTCTTTTAGTAGAAGAGTAGTTCATATAAAAGGGACACAATATTTTCTAAGAACTTAAGCAAATTACATCTAAGACACAAGCCTACATCCAGATGGAAGTTCAACTCAAAATTTTATATTTCACGTCAAAATTAACTCGAGATAGAATATAAAGATTGCTTGAAACTTGAAATCACTTGTTGATGAAGCTGAATTTGATGGCTTACGTGAAAATAGTAGCACTATGTTAATAAGGTAATAATTCTTTTTTAGCTAGTTTATGCCTGACTCCCGACAGAGGCAAACTGCACCTGAAATCTTGATATGACAGGAGGTGTATTTTGGAGAAGGAACTCCTCGGCTACTAGTTAAGACAGAGAAACAGGAATGATTAAATTATTTTCTTTTCTATTTCAGAACCAAAATCTTTGGAACACTCAAACACCATCACAGATGATAGCACACCAAAGAAACCATGTGACACAAGTATGAAAAAGTGCCATCATTGTTCTTATACGACAAATATCACATATAATTTGACTCGTCATATGCAGCTGCACCAGCAGACGAGAAGATATAATTGCCACATATGTGGAAAAAGTTATGCCGATAAATATAGACTGAGTGAACATCACAAATTTAAGCATTGTGGAGGAAAAGTTAAGTGTGACCAATGTGAGAAAGAATTCACAAGTGCGAGTGGGTTACAGAGACATGTTGCGTTGAAACATGAACAGAGAGAAGCTAAATATGTGTGCACGATATGTGACGTGCCAAAAAAATTTGTATTCAAGACAACTTATGATGCACATATGGTAATGCACGACACCACTAAACACCACAAGTGTAAATATTGTGAGAAAACATTTTCATGGGCTGGAACGCGGAGTCATCATGAAAAAATATGCAAAGAGAACAAACAAACGAAGATATTTGGATGTTTTTTCTGCGACAAACAATTCACTTGTAGGAAATACCTGATGGAACATGCAGAGTTTCATAATGGAAATAAAACAAAAATTATCTGTAGCGTATGTGGCAAAAGCTTCAGCAACAATTCTAATTTAAGAAGACATAAAAAAGTGCATAAGGATAATAAGGAACAAGTGCATAAGGATAATAAAGAACAAGTGCATAAGGAATGAGGAACAAATGTATTAGGAATAAAGGGTAACAAGTGCATACATAAGAATAGGACAAGTACACTGTATATATGGAATAAAGGATGAGTGCATGAGAATAAAAGGAACAAGTGCCTAATGAATAAAGGGAAGATTTTACCAAGGGACAAGTGCTTACATAAGGATAGGACAAGTACAGTGTACATAAGGAATAAATGAACAAGTGTATAAGGATAAAAGGGACACATGCATAAGGAATAAAATGATGAGTGCATAAGGATAGGGATAATGATACAGTTAGATGACTTTCTGACTGCTACCACCCATCTTAAACTCTGAATGTGGTTATAATACAAGTTAGAACAACTGTAGCATATTGTGATTCAAAATGGCTACCACCTAAGATTCATCAATTAAGGAGACACATTCCATATATTTTATGTACATTGATGTAAGATGTTACCAAAGATCTGGTGAAGCGTGATGTTTCTAGATTCTTAAATATTTATAAAATCCCTTCATGCTTCATAGTAGGGTTCTGGGGTTGCTTTAGTCCGAATAAACTGACTTAAAAAGAGAGAAATGTAATAAATATTCATCACTTCTCTATTTTCTGTTTCGTTATTAAACTCCAAAACTGTTATACCGAAGACCAGCAGCAATTCTGATTTAAAAAGACAGAAGGAACAAGTGCATTAAGAATAAAGGGACAAGTGCATAAGGATAATAAGGAACGAGTCCATAAGCATAATATGAAGGAGTGCATAAGGATAATAACAAATAAGTGCATAAGGATAAGAACAATCTTTATTTGTTAAATTCATAGCATGAAAAAGTTGTGTTTTTTGCAAAGTTACTGAAATATAGTAAGATGACTTTTTGACTGCTACCACCCAATGTTTCATCAATCAGTGACTCACTTTATGCTTTTTGTTCGCTCTGGATGTTACCAAAGATCTGGTAATGTTTCTAGGTATCTGAAATATTTGTATAAAAAAGCATGTAAAGTTGTCCTTCCAAAGCTTTATCATATCTGTATTATCTGTTTTATTATTATTTGCATGAGTTGAAACTTGTCATACTGAAGACCTTTTGATAATAAATGAACTTCCCTAAGTGATGAAGAACCGAGTTGTAGAGTTTTTTGACGATCAGACTTCTTTGTGAATGATCTTGGCTATTCCTGTTTTATAATATTATCTTTTCAATTTCAGAGGATAACACTTTACAACAAGCACACACCATCTCAAGCAGAAGTACCCAAAAGAAACAATCTGCTCCTAGTATTAAAAAGTGCCAATTATGTTCATATGAAACAGAACTCGGATTCAATCTGGCTCGCCACATGAAACTTCATCAACAAACGGAAAAATACAATTGTCAATTGTGTGGGAAATCTTATTGTAATAAATACAACCTGAAACAGCATCAAAGATTTAAACATAGCAATGTAAAATCAGTTTGTGAACAATGCGGAAAGAAATTTGGAAGTGTGAGTGGATTACGAACGCATATAAAGATACGGCATAATGCGGCAGACTCTGAATCTGAATTTGTATGTACGATATGTGAAACGCCAAAAAAGTTCCAAATTAAATCACACTACAAAGCTCATATGATCACACATGACTCCGCCCAACATTACAGATGTAAATATTGCGATAAACCGTTTGCTTGGCAAGCATCTCGGTGTAACCACCAGAAAATATGCCCTGAGAATAAACAAAAGAAAATGTATGGGTGTTTATTCTGCGATAAACAATTCAAGCAAAAAAGATACCTAAAAGAACATGTTATGATTCATAACAGCAACAAACCAAAGTTTAATTGCGACATGTGTGACAAAAATTTCAGTAATTTGTCTAATTTAAGAAAACATAAAACAAATATGCATGACAATAGTTTTGATAAATACTAGCGTATGTTATTGCCAATATATTTTTGGACTGGCAATTTCAAGTGGTGACACTGCCATTTTGTATATCATAACTTCTACCTATGATTAGCCAAATAATAATGTACTATAACTAAATAAACTTTTTATTCAACATTCAAAATAAAGTCTCTTTATCTTTTTTTCTGTATGAAGGTTTATTTTTTCGTCAGTATATTAACAATTTATTCTCTGATTAGGTAATGAAATTACACGAGTTCTACTTTCAATTGACTGATGACTGCCTATAAAACCTTAAAATGCTACAAGTCTTCGGAATCAGATTTTGGGCAAGTTTGACACCAGGTGGTGACAGTATTTGATGTCTAAGTTTTGCTTATCATAATGTTGTGAACAAACTTATTCAAGATTAGAGACGATTACAGGATAGTGCATGACACAAACAATGGATTGTAAACAAAAAGAGGCCCTTCAAGATTAGATCAAGAGTAGAATACATGTAGATGGTAAATTGTGACATACAGATTAATGAACATAGTGTTCATTGGGATTCGCTCTTCCATGGAGTTGCTGATTTCTAGTTAGACTTGACTCACTCTGCTGCCCTCAATTAAAAATTTTGAACCTGCACAACCAAACTTGCATGTAAAAATTGAGATTCAAATGACCGTCAATTTGTCACATGATCATCAGATTCCAATCTGGCATCACAGAGTAAATTCTGTTTCAATTTCCTTTTTAGGCCAAATCATCAGTGGTCCTTTAATTTTAGTGTTATTTTACACATCCAGATTTGCTCATACATTTTCTGTACATTCCTTTTATGCATAGACCCAATTTAGTGAACCAGGATTTGTTGATGGAAGGCAGCATTTTGAAGGCTGAAAAACAGGTAAATGTAGCCAATTTGCACATTTGAGCAGTAAAGTATGATATTTTTCACTTAAAATCGCATCCTATTCCAAATTGCAACCATAATCTAATTGTTTTATCTCACTCTCCTAAAAAGTCGACAGTCACTTTTGTAAGAACCTCAGTTTCTAAGTTTATATTGTGATTGTAAAGAATTTCATATGAATCAGTTCCTAGAACCTAATCATGATTGTTCTAACTTGTCCAACCATCATCATGATTGTTCCAACTTGTCCAACCATCATAATGATTGTTCTAACTTGTCCAAACATCATGTTGATTGTTCCAACTTGTCCAACCATCATCATGATTGTTCCAACTTGTCCAACCATCATCATGATTGTTCCAACTTGTCCAACCATCATAATGATTGTTCCAACTTGTCCAACCATCATAATGATTGTTCTCACTTGTCCAACCATCATCATGATTGTTCCAACTTGTCCAACCATCATCATGATTGTTCCAACTTGTCCAACCATCATAATGATTGTTCCAACTTGTCCAACCATCATAATGATTGTTCTAACTTGTCCAACCATCATAATGATTGTTCCAACTTGTCCAACCATCATAATGATTGTTCTCACTTGTCCAACCATCATGCTGATTGTTCTAACTTGTCCAACCATCACGCTGATTGTTCTAACTTGTCCAACCATCATAATGATTGTTCTAACTTGTCCAAACATCATGTTGATTGTTCCAACTTGTCCAACCATCATCATGATTGTTCCAACTTGTCCAACCATCATCATGATTGTTCCAACTTGTCCAACCATCATAATGATTGTTCCAACTTGTCCAACCATCATAATGATTGTTCTCACTTGTCCAACCATCATCATGATTGTTCCAACTTGTCCAACCATCATCATGATTGTTCCAACTTGTCCAACCATCATAATGATTGTTCCAACTTGTCCAACCATCATAATGATTGTTCTAACTTGTCCAACCATCATAATGATTGTTCCAACTTGTCCAACCATCATAATGATTGTTCTCACTTGTCCAACCATCATGCTGATTGTTCTAACTTGTCCAACCATCACGCTGATTGTTCTAACTTGTCCAACCATCATAATGATTGTTCTAACTTGTCCAAACATCATGTTGATTGTTCCAACTTGTCCAACCATCATCATGATTGTTCCAACTTGTCCAACCATCATCATGATTGTTCCAACTTGTCCAACCATCATAATGATTGTTCTCACTTGTCCAACCATCATAATGATTGTTCCAACTTGTCCAACCATCATGCTGATTGTTCCAACTTGTCCAACCATCATCATGATTGTTCCAACTTGTCCAACCATCATCATGATTGTTCTAACTTGTCCAACCATCACGCTGATTGTTCTAACTTGTCCAACCATCATAATGATTGTTCTAACTTGTCCAAACATCATGTTGATTGTTCCAACTTGTCCAACCATCATCATGATTGTTCCAACTTGTCCAACCATCATCATGATTGTTCCAACTTGTCCAACCATCATAATGATTGTTCTCACTTGTCCAACCATCATAATGATTGTTCCAACTTGTCCAACCATCATGCTGATTGTTCCAACTTGTCCAACCATCATCATGATTGTTCCAACTTGTCCAACCATCATCATGATTGTTCTAACTTGTCCAACCATCATAATGATTGTCCTAACTTGTCCAACCATCATAATGATTGTTCCAACTTGTCCAACCATCATAATGATTGTTCTAACTTGTCCAACCATCATAATGATTGTTCCAACTTGTCCACCCATCATAATGATTGTTCCAACTTGTCCAAACATCATGTTGATTGTTCCAACTTGTCCAACCATCATCATGATTGTTCCAACTTGTCCAACCATCATAATGATTGTTCCAACTTGTCCAACCATCATCATGATTGTTCCAACTTGTCCAACCATCATCATGATTGTTCCAACTTGTCCAACCATCATAATGATTGTTCTAACTTGTCCAACCATCATAATGATTGTTCCAACTTGTCCAACCATCATAACGATTGTTCCAACTTGTCCAACCATCATCATGATTGTTCCAACTTGTCCAATCATCATAATGATTGTTCTAACTTGTCCAACCATCATAATGATTGTCCTAACTTGTCCAATCATCATAATGATTGTTCTCACTTGTCCAATCATCATGTTGATTGTTCCAACTTGTCCAACCATCATTATGATTGTTCCAACTTGTCCAACCATCATCATGATTGTTCCAACTTGTCCAACCATCATCATGATTGTTCCAACTTGTCCAACCATCATCATGATTGTTCCAACTTGTCCAACCATCATCATGATTGTTCCAACTTGTCCAACCATCATCATGATTGTTCCAACTTGTCCAACCATCATAATGATTGTTCTAACTTGTCCAAACATCATGTTGATTGTTCCAACTTGTCCAACCATCATCATGATTGTTCCAACTTGTCCAACCATCATCATGATTGTTCCAACTTGTCCAACCATCATCATGATTGTTCCAACTTGTCCAACCATCATCATGATTGTTCCAACTTGTCCAACCATCATAATGATTGTTCTAACTTGTCCAACCATCATAATGATTGTTCCAACTTGTCCAACCATCATAATGATTGTTCCAACTTGTCCAACCATCATCATGATTGTTCCAACTTGTCCAATCATCATAATGATTGTTCTAACTTGTCCAACCATCATAATGATTGTCCTAACTTGTCCAATCATCATAATGATTGTTCTCACTTGTCCAATCATCATAATGATTGTTCCAACTTGTCCAATCATCATAATGATTGTTCTAACTTGTCCAACCATCATAATGATTGTTCTCACTTGTCCAATCATCATAATGATTGTTCTAACTTGTCCAATCATCATAATGATTGTTCTCACTTGTCCAATCATCATAATGATTGGTTTAACTTGTCCAACCATCATAATGATTGTTCCAACTTGTCCAATCATCATAATGATTGTTCTAACTTGTCCAATCATCATAATGATTGTTCTCACTTGTCCAATCATCATAATGATTGGTTTAACTTGTCCAACCATCATAATGATTGTTCCATTGCACCATCAATACACAACTTGCAAATTTCTCTGTCTTATCAATTGTTGAATTTATTTCATACATTCTGAAGTGAACAGTCATGTTTACTTTAAACCAAGTTTAATAATTATGAATCAGTGAGATATCTTTTTGAGAAAAGATTGTTCGCTTCAAAACAAGGATTTGTTTAATACCCTGGGCTTATATAAGTATGCATACTGAACGAAATGAAACTAGATTTGCCACGGAAAAATTTCTCCTCTTGACCAATTAAAAAGTAGGTCAGATAATCGGGCAGATAATGCCTGTATATAATATAAGTTGATATAAGTGAAATAAATGTTCTTGTGCTTTATTGATTATAACTCCTTTTTACAATTGATACTATGCATAGAATGTTACTGACAAGAAAATGATTGTTATTTTCAATTAAAACATTCAGTTTTTTGTTGATTAAGACAAGAACATTTCTTTGGAATTACATGAAGTTTAGTTATCTACTTTCATTTTGATCATGTTTGATAATGAACTGCTTGGAATAACACTTAATTAATTAATAATCTTAGATAAGTTGTAATTAAAACAATACCAATCCATGTAAAGTTCTTTGCATAGATAAGATAAGGCAGTATATTTTGAGGAAACAAAAACAATGTTCTAGTTTTTAGAAATTATATGATGTTGTTTTTTGTGATTCCAGTGTGGTATCCAAACTTAGAAAACTCTAGAATGGAAACTAGGCGAGTGTTAAGTCATACTTCTCCGAAAATGAAATTGAAACGCCACAGTCAAGTAAAAGAGGCAGAAATCGACCAATTAGAAGACTCTAGAGAGGAGCCTTCCACAAAAGCAGCCACAAAATGGAGTTTAAATATTTTTAATGGTAAGTTCACCTGCCAAATAATTCCTAAGATTACCTTATATATCATACACATTGGGGTTGATGATCCAGATGCAGTCTGAT